ACCAGGTTTTATATGAATAGCTGCATTGGAAAATTGTGTATTGGGAAAAAATTGACATGTCGAATACTTCGAATCGGGGTTGTATTTATTGTTTAGTAAAAATTTTAAATTTCATGCCCTCAAGGTCAGATTTTCCCTGTGATATTAGAAATGCAACCCTGTCTCCTAGAAATTACATTTGTACGTTACTAAAATCCTTTTAATTACGTTGTTGTGGCAACGTAATAACGTTTCTTTCAGGAAATGAGTGTAGCCCCCAGAAGGAAGTGTTTGGGGAGGATGGCAGGCGTACAAAGTGCAAGACCTTGAAACCAGAACTTAAAACTCCTGTCTTGGGCGACAAAAGCACTTTGGTAAAGGTTAGGTAAAGATTGTGATTTCGGTTAAATGTTGATTAAAAAATAGTTAAAAAAAATAAAAATAATAATGCTGTCACTACGGGTGGATACTGTGCTGCAAGATGGCTTATTTTGGTGGACAACAACTGACATATGCACAGAGGGATCACTGAATAGGGTCTAGCCTAAGGCCCACTTGGCCTCCACCCGCAAAATGTCCCTCAAAGAGACATGTATTGACCAGGAAGAGACTCAAGATAACCACAAAGGACTACAAAGAGACACAAGTTATTATAAAGAGATGAAAAACACCTGCAAAGACACACAAAGAGACTTGCAACAACTATGGACAGGGGCAAAACAACCACAAAGAGACACAACGTAACACAAAAGGGGCAAAATAACCACAGAAAAAATAACTATAAAAACACAAAAACAAAGGGACATGAAGTCACAGAGAGACAGATGTGTAATGACTACAAAGAGATGCGAAACAACAACAACAAAAAGAGGCTAAACAACTATAAAGCCTGTGTGTCTTGCTCCTATGTAGGAATGGTGGTGAGGCCTTTTGCATGTCTGTGCCCAGGGGCCCACTGTCTCATGAACCGCCCATGGAAATACATTGTCAGTAAACATTTTGCTGATGCGTTCAGTATCAACATTTTAGTGAGTTCTAGGAGACAGGAATGTGAAAATGGTATCGAGTAACGATATTTTTTAAGGTGTTGTATCAACGTTAGAAATTCCAGAATCATGACATCACTAATCTGTTGAGAACACACCCACAGAGGTTTCACTGGAGTTAACACAAATTTCGGAGGCTAAGGAAAATCCTCTCCAGCTTCTGATGAGCACGATGACCCCCGTTTATTTCCCACAGTTTACACGGACAACACGCAAGTAAAGTGTTATTCTCCTCTCATCTGCGGCTCAAATGGAAACCACACTGAGCATAATGCATCATCTGCATTCTGCAACCTGCCACGCTGAAAGACTCCTCTCTCCTCTGCGCTCTCTTCATCTCTGTTCCTTCAAAGGCTGCCGAGGGTGCATTCAAACAGCAGGATACACACTCAGCTAACAAACCTCATTAAGGGCCCATACACACTTTCTCAATGCTAACACTAGCTGTCACACATCCCCTCTCAATGCACACACTGGTGGCCACACTGGCCACGACAAAGCATCTTTACAGAGCTAATTAGAAGGGTCCCCCTCTCTATTTGAAACTCATCTGAATAGGAGGGAAGATGATAACGAGGAGGGGAGAAGGAGATAGAGATGGAGGGACAGGCAGGAGAAAGGGAGAGAAAGAAGAGAGGATGCTTGCTAATGTAGTCAAAGAGGTAGCAGTCTTTCACAGGGTGGAATTAAAGCAAGGAGCTCAGGCAGGCAGGGGGACCTGAATTAGTGTGACACCGCTCTGTGTAGGTCTGGTGCAGCGGGGAGGGAACGGAGTGCTGCACCGATTTGATTGGTGTGCCAGTATCTGGAGAGAGATAGAGGGAAGGAATGGGTGTGACACCAGCTTCATGGGGAAGGCAGCAAAAGAGCAGCTGGATGGCATTTCAGAAAAGCTGCGTGAGAGACGCTGCTCTTAAACATGAAGCGATTAAATGAACTGGGACGAGCAAAACGCAAAGAAAAGCAAAGCAGCAAATAAACTAAATAACTGTGTGACGCTTTGCTTTGCTTTTTGTTTGCGCGCTGGTTATTGTTGCAAAGAGCACTCGTTTTTTTTCTGATAAAAGAGATGGTGATCAGTATTCTCCGCCTCTGAAACATCGCCGTCGTCTTTCAGCTGCTTATTTCGAGAAGGACAGAAGGTCACACTGAGAGTTCAGCTCCAAAAATATTCCTCCAGAGTTGCCATATCTTCCTCCAACCCTCCTCCATTTCATGTTTAAATTTTTCTTTTGTGTGTCCTTGAAGCAAGCTGTGTGTGTGTGCGTGTGAGTGTGTGCGGGCAGACAATGCCAAGTTGACAGTTAGGGTCTCGGATCAAGCACAAGGCCAAGTTTGTGTCCACAGACTGAGTGAGAGGACTCGTCAGCAATTACAGAGGTAAAATATATATCGCATGATTTCACCAAATAAGCCTCAAAATTTTTGCATCAAAGCATAAAAAATAAACAGTTAGTATGTTTTTAAAAAATCAACAAATAACACTATTTTAAAAGTGATTGTTTTTAAATTTAACAAGAACAGAATGCACCATGTAAGCTATTTCTAATTTCGCAAAAAACAAAAAATCATATCCAGTCTCTTTTCATTCCTCAACAAAATTTTAAGTTCAAGTTGAAGTTATGACCTAATTGTGGTCCCATCAAGCCCAGTGGCCCCTGATGAGAGTGCAAAGCATTCTGGGAGGATAGCAGGTGTCCCCCCCCCCTCATGTCACAGAGCTTCCCAGACAGCTTGTTAATTTGCACAACTTTTACACACACATCTCTCCCTCTATGTGTGTATGTATGCGTGTGTATATATTAGTGATGGGACTTGACCCTAGCGAGCTGCGGCAGTGTTTCGCGTCTTGCTGGGCGTGGGAAAAAGACGGGACCCCTTTTCACAGCTGCCTCGGCCGAGGCCTGGGCTGCTGGGGGCCCCCTGTACCCCCTCTACACACACCACCCCGTTCCCCCTTGTCTGACTACTCCCCCCACCACACACCCTCCTCCTCCTTCCATCCCATTCAGGCTCCGGCCTACTGGCTTTCAAAAGCAGGACCCCCTTCCCAGCCCTTCATAAATACATCTCATTATTCAAGCCCTAGTTTGCATAGGGATTCCAAAGAGATCTCCACTCTGCTCGTGAGGCCTGAAGCCCCTCAGCCTTTTGGACCGCACAAGTGCAAATTTCGACTTAGTAATCTCCCTGTGTTAATATTTGTTTTAAAACGGTGTGTGCACACTTGCAAAACTATTAAACCAACATCGCAACCATCTTAAAATTTCTGTCTCTCTGTCTCTGCTTTTTAAAATATCTCCTTTTTTTTCTAGAGATGTGGCAAAAAAATCTGAAGAAACTAAACCCAGTGAAAAGAGAGTTTAGCATGACTATTAGCAAGTGCTTTGCTAGTCTGTATTCCATCTGCCACCGGCTATTGTACAGTACCTCACACACACGCACACACACACACACACACACACACGTACTTCAACCCCCCTCCACAGCACCCCCTCCCCACCCCACCTCCCCATTCGCTGCAATGCATTACTGCAGAGATTTATCTCCTATCAGCCTGTATAATACTGAGGTTATAATTTACATCCACTTTAGAAAACAGCAGCACAGGCCGGCCCTTGCATATGCTAATATAAAGCTTGGGAAAATCTGGGCGACTCAAAGAACTCCACACTAAATTTGAATAACTGAGCTTTATATTGAGCCTCAAGGTTGTGGAACCATGAAGATTTGACCTTGCTAACAATATGTACTTATTGTTTAATTCCTAATGCTCGACTATTAAAGGAGAAATTGGAGGGAACGTACTGACAGCCTTAAAGCTGGGAATGCTTCTCTCTCGATCGAACTGAAATAACATCTTCCGGGCTTGGGTTTTTATTTCTTAAAACCCTTAAATTTGGGGATTTTAATTTTAATGTGCGGGTGAAACATAAGCATCCCACCACAGTAGCTTTCCTTTGCAATTTAACGGTATTCTCAAGCGTTTTGACTCAACGTTACCGTTGCTAAATTATGCATGTGCTATACCTTTATGCATACTTTGCCCACAGTAATCAGGAGACTCTGGACAAGGGGAGGGTGGCTCGTCAAGGCATTAGGGCCGAAAAGGACAGAGCCACCCAAATGCTCTTTCCACATGAGCAGGTCCAAACCTTGCCCGTGCTCTCCTAACGGGATAAAGAACCGCAGCAAAGATTACACGGCCACCTCCCCTGCACCTACCACACACTCTACCTGACAAATAGGATCATAGTGTTTAAAGGGATAAAACGCTGAATGTATGTGAATGAAAGAGAGAGAGGTGTGTGTGTGTGTGTGTGTGTGTGTGTGAGGAGGATGGGGGGGAGGTGATGTGCAATGTAAAAAATGTTAATACTTCAAAGGAATGATGGAATTCAACATGGAGGTCTTACTTCACTCGCACACCGTTTACACTCTGTTGCTGTAGGCTACTGCAGCTCCACACTGTATGTATGTATTCTGATATATACATGAATGATATAAAAGTGACATTTACACTGTGCGCAAATAAAAGCGGCAGTAAATGTCCCTCTTAATGCCCCTTTTCTTTTGAATAAGACGGGGAGGGTTACTACAGGGCTGCACACTTTAAAAATCATTCTTGATGCAAGACACAAAATCCTCACTATTTCAAAATTCCGGCTCAGCCTGTCTTTTTTTACACCCACACACACACAAGCATCCTCACAGCTCTACAAAACATGGACAACAATCAACCAAAATCGCTGCACCATCGTTCACTCAACACGAAACTATCTTCAAGCCTCCAGCATCTTAAGGTTTGACCTGAACCTGCCTCTTAACACCGTGGACTCGTGGTTATATCCAAAATATGAAAGGCAGAATGAGCTAACTGCCGGTGCATTTGGCAGCATCATGGACTGTTGCTCATGTGGAAGTAGCAGCTGAACCACTTTCCTACATGCATGTGTTTTTACTTAAAATATTTACCTGCAAGCTGCTCCTCATCTTGTCTGGTGGCACTCTGTCTTCACTGAAAGTTGATGCAAACTTCAGGGCTGACGTTGTCGGCATTTTCCTTTTAAGACAAAAGAAAAGAGAATGTGTGAAATCATCGCTGGAGCTCTCATTTTTAATAAAGCCACACATTTCAGGAATAAATAAGTGGCTTGCGAGGCAGTGGAGGGAAATATAAAGGGGGGAAATAAATGCAGCATTGTTGACCTTGCAGCTAACAGCACTCCACCAAACTTGCCGGGTGTTTTTCACCCACGCACTTCTCATTATTTTGCTTCTTTCCGAGGTTAAATATATTTTCTGCTGCATGAACAATAAGTCAAGCTTGATAAAAGTGTTAGCGGAAAGCCAAAATTGCAAAATGTGATGGAAAAGCAACACTAAGTTGGAAACTATACCACAAAGCATAGCATAGAGTGTGCTCCGTCTCAGTTGCTATGCTACTAACATCCAAGATTGATCAGGAAAAATGTTGTATACAAAATAAAGTGGTGTATAAATTCTAAAAATCACTGCTGCTGTGACTGTGGAATTAAACAGAAACACAGAGATTACACAATTACAATATTTTAATCCGTGATTTGCTTTGTGTCACTACAAGATGGAGGACGTGGAGGTCAAATCGTGTATACTGGCTCAAACTGCACACCTGCTCTCATTTGCAAACTTCACACACACAGTCACACATGATACGAGCTCTCTTGTTTAACGGTGCACATCAAATATTGTCAGTCATGGTCTAAATAGAGCATGCTGGGACTTCAGGGATATTCAGTCATCTCCAAGGCTTGCTGATTCCGCTCTAAGAATAGATCAAACTCGGAGCCGATGTCCTATTTTGTTCTTATCTAGCAGACAAACACAAAAATAATCCACCCGGCGAAAACACAAATTTGAACATATCTGCCATGTCTGACTCGGATTCAGTGATGAAAGCATGTTCGAAACGGGCTGAAGATGATCGTGTGCAGACTCTTTTGCTCTAAACGACTGATGCAGTGTGATTTTGATGTGTTGTTACCCTGCAGGTTCTGGTTGGGGAGCAAAGATCCAAACTAGCTGATGCTGAAATGACGCAAAAGCGGTGTTGTTAACAGGCATGTTAGCACACAGTAGTCCGGACCTGTCCTCTCTGTTCAGGCTCTAATAAGGCTTCATCTTGCATCAAGTAATGTGCATGTGCATCCAATTATACATCACACTCCTAATGTCAAGTAAATTACAGCCAGGGGACATCACTTAAAGCCTACACCACTCATAAAGGAAAAACACTCAGTGTCAGAGGAGTCAGGGAGTCTGCACATGCACTGGATGCAGCTCTGCAGAGTAATTATTGGCTCAAATGAAGGCAACTTCCAGGCCTGCAAAAATCACCAACATGTGAGATCTTAAAAGCGATCTGACGCTGCTGCTGCTGCCAACACCGTCACGTGAGCCCTGGATGGACCAATCGCACGAGTCCTTTAACTATTTCTGTCTCTAACCCCTCCAGATATTAATGTTATAGCACCCACACAGTTATGACAACTGCACAACAGCACGCGCTGTGTTTTTTAAGTATGTTTTCCCACATGCACCACCAGCTTGTGTCCTAAAGTTCAAGCCTATTGATTCTCAACAGGCCCCAGCATCAGCACCGCGATGCCCAAAACACGAAGCAGCAACATTCACGCCCTCACAGACACGCAGGTGGCTCCACTGAACGTGCCAGCACCTGTCCAGAAGAGGTGGACAACCAGCACTAAAATCACGCTTTCGAGGCTCAGCGGAGTCCCCCCTCTTCCCCCTCCCCAACACCATCACTCCTCTTCATCGGCAGCCGCGGCGTGCAGCCTCCCTCAGCATCCGTCCCTCCTGCTTCTTCCTCCCGCTGCTGCTGCTGCTGCTGCCCGCCCCGGCATCATCTCCTCCTCCTTCTCCTCCATGCCGAAACGAGAGGGAGGAAGCCCCCGGATCCGAAGTGCTCGGCGTCAGTTCGTACTTTCGGTTCTCTAGCTTTATGAAATTAAAACTCATACAGCTAGATAACCAAAGACACAAACTAACCCGTCGTCTCTTAAAGGGGCCGCCTCTCCGGTACAAACAGAGAGAGGAGAGGAGAGAGGAGAGAGAGAGAGAGCCTGCCTGTGGTCACATTGCACTGAGAGCCCCTCACACACACACACACACACACACACACACACTGGAAGAGAGATAGATAAAGAGAAAGAGCAGCAACAAAGCTGCTCAGCATGATCAGCTTTTATAGATCATGAAATTGAGGTGAAATAAAGTTAACCACGCAGGCTGTGTTGGCTCCCATGACTAGTTACACACACACACACACACACACACACACACACACACACACACACACACACACACACTATTATCTCCATCACCATCAACTTTGCCTCACTGGCATCACCACATCTCAACATGCTGTACCAACATCACCATGACTTCTTTGGTGCCAAAGGAGCATCTTGTTTTGCCAAGCATCACAAGTGCATGCAGCCAAAGGCCCAACCTCGTCTTTTTACAACCCTTAAAACCATTTAGAAATACAGAAAGGCAATTTTAGGAGTCCAGATTGCCATTGGTCAACACTGTGGCTCCACACTGATACATTAGAGCCATTATTCCACCGCATCAGGCCTAGGAGACGCGCAAAGTTCCCACAGAACAGCCTCAATTAATGCCACAGCTGTGGTTTCAATTTCTGTGAAAACCACAACCAGTGTGATGAAACACACACAACATACCTCTTATTTAGAATTTAAGGATATTCCCACATCAGCTGCACCAGTCATATAAAGCCAGCATCCCACTTACTTGCACATCAGGCTAACTCCACTCCACTACAGTCGATATCCTCCAGCAATTTCAAATCCCGCCTCGGATTTTCCGTTTAATCAGAGCCTGTGGTCTGATCGCACCCGATTAAAGGGAATAGTGCAAATTAAAAAAAAAAGAAATAGCAGAGTATTATTGGAGCTACAAAGTGTCCTACGCCTCAATAGACTTGCATGTGTCCTCTCCCTCACACACGCAAGCTGCGACTGACAAGTGCAGAGAGTCCACACGGTGAGCAGAGGGGATAAACTCCGCCTCAGAGAGAGGGAGGGCGGCAGAGGGAGAGACAGAGAGAGGCGGGAATCTGAAATCATTAAAGCCAATTTGAAAATGAATGCAGGTGCGTTTCATTTGGGACTTTATTCCCCCAGTTAGCCCACATTAGTGAGAGACAGAGGCGTGCGTAAAATGTTGCGCAAAAAGAGCAGGGACGCGCATGGTGTTATGATAGTAATAGTGGGTTTTTTTTTTTAGAAATTGATTAGACATTTTAAAACTTTTAGATTTTGGAAAATATGAGCTCTGTGGGTGTCCTCTGCTTTCTTTCTTTTTTATTATTATTTTTTAATAAGCTCTGCTCCTTATACTCCTGCACAGTCAATGTGACAGGAGCACAAACTTCATATTAATATTCTACAAAAACACATACTTCTCTAACCTTTTGATCAGAGCTCAAATGGTATCACTTAGAAATCATAAAGCCACAAAAGCTTTATTTTATTTTCATATAGGAGAGGCTATATTTACTGCAATTTTATAATTTAAAGAAGCAAACAAAATGCAAAAAAACACAATTCTTACAAAGCTAAAATTTTGCAGCTATGAGCTATTTCAGTCAGTCAGCTCCCCTCTGTTGTGCACGTGTTATAAAATGCTGATTAAATGCATTTTATGGGAACAGTAGCAAAATAAGGCTGCCCCATATTCTCCTTACGTGTTCATGCACCCTGATTATGGTTGCTAAGGATTATTGTTGCCATAATTGTTCCATTATTACCAATTATACCTTCAGTAGCCATTTAATAACAGTCTTAAAGTATGTCTTCTAATCAGTGTTTTAATCAGGATGCAGCGACACAATAAAAGGTGAGAACATGATGCTGTGTTTTTTATTTTAGTTTTACGTATATAAAAAGTCCCTGCACCGAGCAGAGGAATTCAGGGCTTCTGTCCTTGGTGCAGAAAAGGCCCACGCCTAAAGCCAAACCCCTGATAGCATATTCAGGCAATATGCAGCCTTATCAATTGCGATATTATGATATGAATGATATCTGAGCTGAGGAGATGAGATAGTGCGCGCGATAACAATCACACCCTTTGATAAAAGGAGCCAGTGGCAGAGACAAGACCCGAATAGCAACTTGCAATATCTCTCAAAGTTTGAAAGGATATTTAAAAAGGTGCTGGGATCAGTGTGTGTGTGTGTGTGTGTGTGTGTGTGTGAGCAGGTATAAACCAATAAAAGAGGCAGCGAGCTACAGTCTGGGTTTCCAAACGAAGCTTGCATCAGATAGCAGTTACATATCTGATTATTGCGCATGGGCAATCTGTTAGTATCATGGAGGTGCAGCTCTCCTGTCAGCCTGCTGCTGCTGCTGCTGCTGCTGCTGCACACACACACACACACACACACACACACACACACACACACACACAGGTCCGGCTCTACTGTATGAATCCTATTCTACTCTGCATCATTTATAAGTAGATGTAATCAGCCGTGGTCTCTGCTGCTGTCATCCTGTAATTGAACTTACACCACGTTGTGCTGTTGCCACGGTTTAAGAGGAGCGGGAAAGAGGCCCACACAGCTCTTTAAAAAAAAACAAAATCATTGTTGCTACATTAGCATGAGAGCGGTGCTCATTTTGATTGGATGCACAATCCTTATTGCTCCTGAGCATGCGCGACCAGGGCGGTAGAGTGCACGTGCATCCCAGTATTGTAGCCTACTTGCTTGCAAACCATCATATGCATTGCATCTTTAAATAAAGTGATGCAGTAAAGGGTCCTGCAAAGCATCACACCTACAATCAGTGTTTTTAAAATTCTACAGTGTATTTTAAAATAGGATATCTTGTCTCCTACATTTATAACCAAATTAAATAAAATCCTGACACTCCAGAGCAGCCAAATGAAATATCCTGGACGAGTTCTGTGAAACTATTTTAAATGTAAAATGCTTTGCTAAACTATTTGCTGCGATATTACACTAAATTCACATTCTATAAACGGCATCCAGTCACTGCACTGAAGCTTTAAAAAAGATCTATTGAACAAGGTGTCCCTGTGTGTGTGTCCTTAGATGGATTTTCCCACAAACAAGTGACAGGGAAAATTTAACCCCCCACCTCCCCCCCCATCTCCCCCCTTTCTCGCCCTCCTCCCAAAAAAAAGAGAAAGAAAAAAAAGAAGAAGAAAGAAGTCAACATCAAGTTCAACAACGTGCCGGAGAGACATTTACATGACAATCAGGTCTGGGATCCTCGAGGTCCCCCCACCCTGCACAACAGAGTCTGGCGTCAGCCCCGCTACACTTTCCCAGGCTCACAACAATATCTCCCTGCTGAACTCTGCACTGCAGCGCTGCCTGGGGCCTCCTCCTCCTCCACCTCCTCCTTCTCCACCACCACCACCACCTCCTCCTTCTCTACTACATGAATACTTCTCACATGAGCACATGGCAGCCTCATTAAATATGACGGAGTTTGCATAAAGTTTAATGCAGGATAATTGACATGCATGATACGTACGATTTCTGTGGTGCTCAAGAGGCCGCATCCTACTTCATCGTATATTAAATATGCTATGTGACTATATTATTACACTTACAATTTGCTTAGAGTTCTGACATAATATTACAAGCAATATTTTAGCATAGATAATTTTTTTATAGGAATTTTTATGCTTTGCAATTTTCTTTAAGCTGTTTTTCTGGATTTTAAGATAACACACACACACACACACACACACACACACACACACACACACACACACACACACACACACTATTGCAATATAATCAAATATCTGTGAAATTAAAAGCGAACGTCAGTAAACCCCAAATGAACATGTTGCACATTTGCGTCAAAATATACTCACATTTTACTTGACTTCAATCCAAAATTAAATCCACATAGATTCTCTTGATTTTCAATATATATATAATATAGTGACTTTTATAATTTGTGCCAAAACACGTCCTTCCTGCACTCCATCCACATAACCTGGGCTCGATATTCACAGAGTGATCTACCTCCTGTTTCCTGAAACGCACCTGAACGCCTGCTGTTTGGAGCAAATCTTCCCTTTAAGTCTTAAATATATTTCACCTGCTGCATTAACAGAGAGCTGTCTGCCATATTATGTAGGAAAAACCCTCTCTTACCGGATAAAGCAGGTCAGACAGGAGTGTGAGAGCAGCGGCTGCAGGCGGCGAGAGAGGCGAGGGGAGGGATGAGGATGATGATGGTGATGATGGGGAGGAGGAGGAGGAGGAGGAGGAGGAGGAGGGAGCAGAGCCGGCTCAGGGCCTATCAAATGTGTCAAACAGGCCTTATGATATTTGGGGGGAATAAACGAGGATATAAAACAGCCTGAAAGTAGGTTGCTGCTGCTGGTTTTTGTTTTGAAATCAGAATCACATCGACGAAATCCTGCTGCTGCTCTTATTAAACACACACATCTGGTGATGAGGTGGTTAATAATTATATAATGTGTAACCTTGAGGTCAACATTAGAGACAAATAAGCTCCAGTTTAAAGCATAGTCGTATTTTATTTCGTATATTCTTTGTGTTACTTTTCTTATTTTTGTGTATTTATGATTTAAAATTATTGCTTTTTATTTTTTTATTTTTACAGAACTGAAACTTATCTATTATTGCCTTATTAACACACTGTACAGTAGGATTTATAATTAACATAACGTAGTGATTTTTACACGTCTTTACACAGGAGGTCCCACTCCTAAGGTTGGGCTGATGTCCTCTGTCACAGGATCAGTCGTTTTATTCCCACATTCACAAACCAATACAGTGCAGGTAAGTAAAGACTTTACATCACATATTGCTGGCTTGTTTCAGTGTTACATGTGGGACTAAGATGCTAACCTGCTATACAAATAAAATAAATTAAAAATAATAAT